GGATGTTATGTTGGCGAGACACGTCGACCTATTCGACAAAGATTGGGAGAACACAAAAATGCTTGTAAAGGAAGCTGGGTCCAATGGTCAGAAGTTGCCGAACGCATGGTAGAAACTGGACATGAGATAAAATGGTCTCAAACTAGTAGATTTGCTGATTATTGTACGTCCGTGGTTAAAAGAAAGATATAAGAAGCTTTCAAAATTAATGGCTTATATAATACGTTGAATGTGAGGAGCAGTGGTAGAAAGTTGAGTAGGAACTACTTATGCTTGATTAATAGATTGAAGGAGAGGAAGGGTATTGAGCCACCGTCAAAAAGAAGGCGACTCAATTTGTCTGCTCGCTGATGGTTATAACTTCACTCACACTCATCCAACATGTTAAATTAAGCTCATCAACCAAACCAGACGTGACAGATTACGCAGCTCCTGTCATGCCTTTCCTTGGGGATTTAAACGTGAACGACCCTAGACTGGGAGGTTAGTACAAGTGGTTTCGTAACTTCAATGTTAACATGAGACTTTTACAGGAATGAGACCCAGCTCTGATGATGTCCTTCATATGTTGGACGAAATCTTAGTCCGTTTTCGCACGAAACGAAGAAGAAGGTCTCGTAGACTGCGTCAACCTGAATGTCGTATAAAAGCCAAACGGCTGCAGTACAACGGGATTCATCCATCTTCTTCTGGTGAGATCTACCTACGAATCTCTGCTTCATGCATTCTCATACGAAATGCAAGTCTCCCCAACAATATTCTTAACGAGTTATTAAATCTATTCTTATAGGCAAGCTATCATTTAGAAAAACTAGATTTTCAAATAATTTATTTTGATATTGGCTATTAAATTGTTTCTCAAATACAAATAATTAAAATTTAAGTAGCATTTTATCAAATCTACACGAATTGAGTTTTTTTCCTATTCCTTTTTATTTAAGTAATAAAACGAGCAAAACATGTGTATGCATAAATTTTACTGAGAAGGTAAATAAAATTAAATAATTTGATAACGCTATTTAATCTGAATACGTAAATTATGAGCCTATTCCTTATAAACCTAGACATGAAGGCCAAGATGTTGTTGCAGCTATTTTGGTCACAGCCTCTTTTAGCTGTATAAAATGGATCTGACCTCGTTTTCGTAACTTGGTCGTGTTGTCAGGGCGACCTTGTTGGACGCACTTTGTCCAAAGTCCTCTGTTATAGCAGATATCATAAGTTCCAGCGTTTGACCATTTTATTTCTTCAGAGATATAGTCCCACATTCCCACGCGTTTCGCCCCTCGTCGTAGTCGGCATTGTCAGTGAGCCCTGGCAGTCTACGCACTAAATTCGTTCTTACTAAATCCTCTCAAAAGGGCGCATCTTTGTAATAGGTTAAGATAAGTGAATTATAACTTGTAGTAGAAAAGAGCACGATAAGATTTCATGGAATAGGTGAATGTACGAGGACAGAAAGAGAGCTACAACAACTACTCAGCAGAAATTTGGTCAAGGGATGGACTTCACTTGTCTCTTTGACCAGTTATAGCCTGGTGCTGGGAATGGCAAAAATCATTGGCGATGCTTAATACGATGTCGGCAAAACGTCTGGGAATGTATCAAGTCCATGGTCCAACGCTGGATATTAGGATAACTACCATAGCAAAGGACTTCAAACAAGGTGTATCCAGCTAGGTCTCTCTGACAACGCGACTAAGTTGCGAGAAGGTCAGACCGCTTCCACACAAGATTATAGTAATCACTATAAAACCTGTCCTTTAAATACGGGCTGAATTGTTAAAATTATCGTCTAATTTTCCCTTCTCGTGTCTTTAGTTTATCAAAGCAGATCTGGACGGCAGGCACGCCAACGTCAAGCAGAGTTAGAGCGAGCTCGGCTGGAGGCCGAGGCACATGCAGCTGCCATCTATAGTGCCACAGCTGGTCGTCGTCGGCGGCGGGATCGACGTAGAGAACGAAGTGCTGACCCTAATCTCAGCGATACAGATTTTCACACTGGTCCTATGCATATTCCTAATACAGAGGAGACTTGTACTTATTTTCCTGCCATGAATACGCAATCAGAATCAAGCCCACAGCTTAATTATAAGCTTCTTAACATTTCTCCGCACTAGTATATTTTTTAGAATTAATTCCCTTATCCAAAATATATTTTAAACACATCCATTTTCAAAGCTACCATTGCTTCACCATTTTTTCATATGGTGCCTAAGTAACTGTAAAGTTTAAATCCGTGTGATATTTAACCATCAGTTCAACTCTACTTTTATTTTAATGCATTTTGTATCTTAAGGTAACATATTAATTTTATTAACAAGCTCAATGAGAGATAACATTGTTGGGGGGACTTTCATTTATTATGAAAGTGCATGAAGAAGAGATTCGTAGGTCGATCTCACCAGAAGAGGGCGGATGAATCCCGTTGTACTGCAGCCGTTTATACGACGTTCAAGTTGACGCAGTCCACGAGACCAGTTATGCTATCTTTTAGAGAGAAATATGACCCATTATCGAGATCCGGCTGCTATAAGATTGTTTGCTCAGGTGGATGATATTATGTTGGTGAGACATGACTATCTATTCGACAAGGATTGGGACAACACAAAAATGCTTTTAAAGGAAGCTGGTCCAATGGTCAGAAGTTGCCGAACGCATGGTAGAAACTGGACATGAGATAAAATGGTCTCAAACCAGTAGGTTTGCTGATTATTCTAAGTCTGTGGTTAAAAAAAGATATAAGAGGCTTTTGAAATAAATAGCTTAGGAAATACGTTGAATGTGAGGAGCAGTGGTAGAAAGTTGAGTAGGAACTACTTATGCTTGATTGATAAATTGAAGGAGAGTAAGGGTATTGAGCTACCGTCAAAAAGAAGGCGACTCAATTTGTCTGCTCGCTGATGGTTATAACTTCACTCACACTCATCAAACATGTTAAATTAAGCTCATCAACCAAACCAGATGTGCCGGGTTACGCAGCCCCAGTCATGTATTTCCTTGGGTGGTTAAACGTGAACGACCCTAGACTGGGAGGTTAGAACAAGTTTTTTCGTAACTTGACTTACATGCCTACAAGCTCATATCCCATCATCTAAACCATACTTGCTCACGGACTTACGCAGTCTCGGTTAGGGCTTTCTCTTTGGTAATTAGGCCTTAAAGATCAGAGCCTGACATTAGGCTTTTGATAACTCTGATTTATGCCCGTTATTGCGTATAGACACTACACACACATACACACACTCTAGCCAAACTAATGTATATCTATCTAGGTTTTTAACTTTCGTGTCTCTTAATTGAGTCTATATAAGGGGTAAGATAGAGCCAGATAGTCTTCCTGCCCTAGTATTAACGTAAGACTTTTACAAGAATGACACCGAGCTCTGATGATGTCCATCATATAGTGAACTAAAGCTCAGCCCGTTTTCACCCGAAACTAGGAAGGACGTCTCGTGGACTTCTTCAACCTGAACGTCGTATAAAGGTGCAACGGCTGCAGTACAACGGGACTCATCCGTCCTCTTCTGGTGAGATCGACCTAAGAATCTCTTCTTCATGCACTTGCACAATAATATGTTTAGTATGCTCTAAAATTACTTTATCTCAAAGGAGTGATTGTTCAATCAGAGAAAATCTCATTATTGTATTTTAATGGAAACACAAGCGCTATTATTTTACTGTGAGACCGTGTTTGCAGTATTCAAGAGTAAACAGGGCATAATAGGACAAGAAACTCCCTTTTCGTTACTAGAACCTTTAGGGTGAAACTAATCAATATAGACCTCCTGATCCATAAGTGTATACAGTAAAGGAGTTTCGTCTAAAGTCACTCGGCAACCTGCTGGAGATACCAGTAATAATGTGAAAAAAATCCACCTTTTTTCAAGAAAAAAGAAGCTACCGCTAGTAGCCTTTTATGGAATTCATGGCTGTAACAGATTTTAATAATTTTTAATAACCTGAGGGACAATCATTCACTG